GGCATCGCCCCGGCGTGAGCTCCGCACGGGGCTGGTGGCCGCCGCCTGCGACTCGGAGGAGTCCTGCAAGGACAGGAGGGAGAGGGGGAAGGCGGGGGGCACCGTGCCGTGGGGGCAGAGGGGAGCGAGGGCTTCCAGGAGCCTCTGCCGTGGGGGCGGCGCTCAGAAGGGGGACGCGGATCACCGAGGAGTCCTCTTTCCCGATGGGGCAAAGCTTAAAATAATTAGCTCTCCTTGCAAATGAAAACAGAAACGCATGGGAGAGTGGGGGGAAAACCATCCTCCGAGCCCAGAGCAGACGGAGCGGAGGGGAAGGGCTCCGACCCTCCCCGGGCCCGGCTCTCTTCTCCGGTGCAGGGCACGGGGGAAACTTCCCTCGGCATTTCGGGTGTCCCGGGCGAGCGCACCCCCACTCACCCCCCACCCCCGCTCCCCCCGCAATCCCCTCTGGACCCCTCGCGACCGCAGTGCCAAGACTCCCGCGGCGGGGAGGACCCGGGGTCTGCACCCCGCGGGGGTGACACCCCAACTCGCACCGCTCCGCTGCCCCGGCTCGGCTCCCGTGCCCAGCCCCGGCCGCTCACCGCCATCACCGCCGCGTCTTCCTGCCCAGCCGGATTCCGCGCGAAACCAGACTCACGTGGTCGGCAAAAGCGCGCGAAACCTCATGAATAATGGATAGGCTCGGGGGAGGGCTCCGCCCCGCTTATCTGAATATGGATGAGGCGGCGGGCGAGACCCTGGAGCAGGCGGGGGCACGGCCAAGGGGTGTCGGGCGCCTGGTGGGCAGCAGTGCCAGACTTCGGCAAATTTTCGTAAACAATCGGCCGTTTGCCTCTGGGCTCGAGGGGTCCCCTCTCCTGCCGGGAACCCGAGTCACGGAGGAGATCCCTCTGGGAATTCCTGTGTCCCTGTTGGCATGTCTGCCTCTTCTGCAGCTAAAATCAAGTCTGACTTAACCAGGTTTGCCACTGACCCATGGGGCACCCGCTTGAATCACCTTTATTCTGGTTCACACTAAAACTACAAGAGTTGGGAAGGGGGTTCTGGCATTTGGTTTTGGTTGGTTTTTTTTGGTGTGAGTCTGTATGTAACAACAGCAATGGGGAGCTAATTGGAGCAGTTCTGAAGAACAGACACATCTGTCTCTGTAGCTGCTTGGTGCAGCAAGCAATGCCATTTAGGAGAGTAACTGAAAAAGAGCACCTGTCCCATAGAAACTGGAAGAGGAATTTAGGCAAAACAAGCAATGGGCTGATGTTTGGCAAGGAGGTGAAACAGTTCCATTCAGGCCACAGGCTTTTGCATAATAGCAGGTGGTTTGGATTTTGGAGATCCGTGTTCTCTGAAGGGTTTCTGACCACTATTGAGTGTCAGGCTGTTTCTGCTCTTGGCTGCACTCAAGCGTGAGGCAGTAACCTTGAAACAGGTGACAGCAAAAGCAAAAGTGACTAAAGAGGCAGCTGACAATCACAGACCTGAAATGGCTCTTCCAGGAGCCCAGCTGGATGATTCAGCCTGGTACGAATATAGCAAAGCAGGAGCATCGTGATATAAATAGGAGAGTGGCTCTGCCTCATCTACGTGACACATGATGGGGAGCTGGCTGGTGCTCGAGTGAAACAGGCACAGGGATCCCCCAAGAGATGCCCCCCCCATAGGCTTCTATAGACCACATGGCTTAAAGGAAGGCAGCCCAGGACCTGTGTAAGGGGCTGTTGTCTGACAAGGCCTAGGTGACACGCTGTGATGAACTGGTCTCACCACAGGGTGCCACTGTCTCTGCAGACACTGGACAGCTGGATGGACAGACAGCTTTTTATGTCTGTCCTTCCCAGAAGACCATGCACCATGTCCATGTTTTCACTGCTCTCTTTGGGTGCCAGCTACAAGTGGTCCTGTGCTTGAGCTGGGGTGCTCAGTCTCTTTGAGAAGAGCTGAGGTTGGGCAGCTAAAACCACCCCTAAAATCAGGTGGCCACCATGCATGGGACAGGGCTTCTTCTGCTGTGCTAGAGACGATGCACTGGAACATGTGAGAGGGCTGAGATGCAGACAGGGCCCAGACTGCTCCCTGGGGTGAACTCAGCTGAGCACCAAACTCTTGAATATCAAAACATGCCACTAGGATTTTGGAGACTGGTGCCTTAACAGCACAGGAGGAGCCCTGTGAAAAGAATGGCAGAGTGGTGCAGATTTATGCCCGATACTAGAAGTCAGTAGGTTGGTAGAGCAGCTCTGAAACAAGACAGGCACATCTCTCTCTGCAGTTGCTCAGCATCTGAACAGCAAAGCAGTTTTGGACAAGAAGTAATCCCCTGTCTAGTAGACTGATCTAATAAAAGCTGAAAGAGTACTTTAGAGATAAAATGTCCTAGAAGAGTGGATTTTGGTGATGATACGAGGGTGTAATGCTGTCCTGGAAACCATGACTGCACTTTCCACCTCTGATGCCTGCAAGTCAGGTGAGCTTGCCAAAGGACAGCAGACTGCAGCAGGTACAGCACCAAGTGCCAGCTTTCCTTGGGGCCCTCAAGGTTATACCAAGGCTGCTAAATATCATGTCTTGTCTTGCTTCAGCCTGGCAACACTGAGGCACAGCAAGGACAAAGGGACTGAGCTCTGTCATCTTTATGCACTGGATGGAGGAGATGACAGAGAGAGCAGCAGTTCTCACCTGAAGTGGGAGGACATGTGCAGTTAAGGAGCTAGGGCAGCCTTTGGAGGTGGAAAGAGCAGAGTTACATTTGCACACACCACGTTTGGGCTGAAAGGCATGGCTTGTTAATAGAAAGGAACCATACGTGTGGATTCCCCATCTTCTCTGTTTCACGTAAGCAGTGAGGAAGTCAGGATCTGAAGTGTCACGGTCCTTGCAGTGGCGCCCAGCAGTCTTCTGCCTGAGACAGCTTTTGGATCTGGTGTCCCAAGTGCTGGGCTCTAGCCTTAGAGTGAATCAGATGGGAAGAGCAGGTGGATTGGAAAGCAAAATCTCTCCTTCTGACACAGTTATGTGGGAGGTAACATGTTCAATTAGTTAGCGCCTGAGGCTACAAGTGAGAAGACATGGATTTTACTCCTGGCTCTGTTACCAAGGCACTTTTTAGGCGGAAGCACTCCACTTCTTTTTGAACAGAAGTGTCCCTTCTATAACTCAGAGATGTTGGTGCCTGCTGAGCCTTTGAGCCTAGATCCATAAATAGAACATGTCAAAATATTGCAACATACCATTAACCTGAACAACAGCATGAGAAGAGACAAGCTAAGGACCGGCTTCTCCAGATGTCATTCCAAAGGCATGACACCAGCATAAAAACCTGTTTTAACCCAGTGGAAAATCAGAGGAATAGGGCTGAGGCAGGCAACACAGTCTCAGGGTACATCCCCTCCATGAGGCTTGCTGCAGCGAAGCTGGAAAATTAAGCTTGAGGACAATCAAGCAGACTTAAGCTGAAAAAGATCTATGTGTGGGGTGGGCCTGAAACACTCTGTATGTGCTGTTTGCTAGAGCAAACTTGATCAATGTAGGGATCTTCTAAAAAGGTATAGGCTTTGTACAGCAAATTTCAGCTTAGCAAAAGCCTTGCATTCCTATAGAACCAATTCCTAGGGCCCCAGGTGAACCACAGTTAGAAAACCATGCCAGAATTTATCCTCCAGTCCTTGAAATGACGCAGATAACAAGCATCCCCCTTGAAACTGTTCATAGTCAGACAGCTCTTACTGCTGAGAACAACCTGCTGATATTTAGCCAGCTATTTCCTTTAATTTCCTTTTTAAATCTTGGCTCATTTGTCCCATTTATTTCCCTGTTTACTATACTAAACTTCTCTTTTCTTTGCCTGCTATTTGCACCTTCAAATCCTGCTAATTATTTACCGTGTTTCCCTTTAGCTGCCATTGTCCAAGCTACGCCAGGTTAGTTTGGTCAGCCTTAAACTTTCCTTAAAAGTCAAACTCCCCAGGTTGTTAATCATTCTCCCCCGCAGGGACTTGACTATAGGATTTGGGCTGTGGAAGAAAATTAACTCCCCTGCCTTGCAATCAATAATTCCTCTACAGAAGCAGCCTATTTCTCCTCGCCTTGGAGGCGTGCGACGACATGGATGCTGGATCACACAAGCGTCCGCCGTTGGCTGTGACGTTGGGTTGTGCGGGCCGGCCTGGAAGATACGATCGGGCTGCAAAAGACAAGAGCCTGCACGCTACAGGCAGCGTCGAACACCTCCTGCCCGCGGCGAGGACAGGATCCTGCTCGGTCAGGCCCAGGCCCGCGGGGGCAACCGCCCTGCCCGATCCCCGCTGCCCCTCGCTCCACGCCAAGATGGCGGCAGGGCCTGGCAGGCCCTGGGCGAGCCGCTGATGCCACGGCTCCCGCATGGCGGGGAGGTGCGAGGGCAGGCCGGGGCGCAGCGTGCGGGCAGCCGAGGGCAGCGGGGGTCCCACAGGGAGGTGGGTGAGCCCCAGCCCGGCACGGGGGGTGGATGGGGACCCCAGCCCAGCCCAGGACAGCACGTGAGGAGAGCGGCTGGGGTAGACCTGGCCTCCAGGCAGCGCAGTTCAGCACTGGGGCTCATGGGGAGGTTTTGTAACTCCCACCTGTTTCAGGACAGGCTCGGGGAGGGGGCTCAGCGCCCCGGCGGTGAACGGCTGACGCCAAGGCCGCCCTCTGCTCGCCGTCCCGCAGGTGGACGGACGGGGACAGAGCACCTTTAAAGCGCGGCAGGCCCGCCCCTCGAGTCCCGCCTCCCGCCCGTTCCCATTGGCTCGCGCCGCTATTTCTTTTGGCCTTTTTGACAGAAGCTCTCTCCGCTTGGTCCCTGATTGGCCCAAGCGGCACCCCTCTCGGGGACCCTCTCTCAATAGCGCCGCTGGGCCCGGCCGAAAAGGTGTCTGCCCTGGCTCTGGCGGGCTGCCTGCCCTGCCGCTCTGTTTTGAGCCGCTCTTCAGCGACGCTCCCTGGCTGAGGGGAGCGGCGGGGCCGGGGCCTGGGATGGCGGGGCTGGGCCCCCGCGACTGAGCGCCGTTCGCTGGGGAGGCAGGGCCGGGCCGGGCCCG